CACACACACTCACTCCCTCACACACACTCACTCCCTCACACACACTCTCTCTCTCCTTCTTCTTTCCCTGCCCCCTCCCCCCACCCACTTTTGGAACTCTCCATGACCATCTCCTAGCCCAGGTTAAGTACTCTGAAATCTTGGGGGAGCTAGGTCCATCTGGCCACAAGATGGCTCTGGAGATGGTTAAGAGAAAAGGTCTGGACTGGACTCATTTCGGTTTGGGAAAGAACAACCTACAGCCAGCCAGCCAGCCAGGTGTCAAGACCAGACTCAGAAAGGGGCGAGCATTTTAAACTCAGTCATGCTGTCTAAGGCAGAAAGAGAAATGGAAAGTATAGGTGGTGGAGAAGCAAACCATGCATAAAAAGAATTATTCCTGTGTCAGAGCTGCAGTCACGGAGCCCCAGGAAAGGCAGGTTAGTTGGGTCTGCACCGACTAAACCATGATTAACGGACAGAGGCAGTACACCCATCACCTGACTATACTCCTCTAGATGCTTTCACTGCCTCTGGGGAACCCAAGGGGAAGAAACGGGGTTACTACTTCACCAAGACCCTCCAGTATGCTCCCCCTGCCTGGTCCAGACAGGCAACTTAAAAAAAAAAAAAAAAAAAAAAGTTGGGAGGGGGGAAGAGTGACAGAGGAGGAGATGAGAGGTAGGGGGCAAAAAAGACACAAAGTGGCACATCTCCCTGATAATTACCAACAGTGTTGCCTAGAAGGGCACATCAGAAGGCTTCCTTGGCCTGACATACCAATATAGGTCCAGCTGAGAGCTCATGCCGTGGCTTTGACTTTCAAGTAGAACAAATGTATACCTCAATATACAGAATGTGCAATACAGGCAGGTAGTATTGGTATGAGAATCTTACCTAATTGCATTTTCTGGCTTTGGGGACTTATTTTTAATTTTCAATCTGTAAGCTCAACTCTAGTTAAGAGTTTTATTTGCATTTTAAATTCCCACCGACCAAACGACAAAAATACAATCTACATTTAGAGATAGGACCTGCTACCAATACCAGTACAATTTTATTGGAATATGGAATGTAAACAGATGTTTTCAAACAATCTAACCTTATAAAAATGTATGGCATTATTAAATAGCTAATAAAGAAATCCTATGGTCTGATGTGGGTAGACACCTCGAGCTCTAGCCTAGCTGTAAAGTCCCCACAGCTGTGGCATGGCTCTGCCGCTGGGGGAGGGGACTGCTTGCAAACCAGACTGGTGACAAGTCCCCAAAATGAAATCAGCTTGACTGTTTTCTTTTTAAAGCAGAATCTAGCTTCCTTTGCTGACATGAAGGCTGGCACAACAGATCCCGAGCTTTGACACTGGCTCCAGGAACTCCAACTAACCCGCCAGGCCCCTCGTATGATGCTCTGCTCAGTCGTCGGGGAACAGGCTGGCCCTGCACACATGACCCCAGTCCCTGCACATGAGAAGGACAGCTCTGCCATCACGTTCACACATGACCTCTCGGGACTGTCAAAATGCAGCTTACCCTGATTACAGAGGGAAATTGCTTCCCGTGGGGATAAAAAGAGGCAAAAAAGGGTGGTGGGGGGGGTGGGAGTACATTTTTCTCACCCAATAGCTCATTCCTAAATACATTCTAATAAGATGTTTCTTTCATTCCCCAACCTGCCTGAAGACCGACTTTCCAGCTTTCATTATGGTTGTGATCAAAAAGCCTCTGTTTCAGAGAGGTGCACGAAAACAGGCACACACACTGGGATGTATGTGCTGGGATATGGTGAGGTTTTCCTTACAAGGCTGCAAAAGGAAAAAAAAGGCTACACGGAAAAAATAGCAACAAGATTTTATGGTTAGGCAAATCAACAAAGGTTACAGTGAGCTCCAAGTTATGCACTTCGCATCAAACTTCTGAGGAGACAGATGGACCTGTTCACGGCGTCACCAGGTTTCAAGTGATGCCTGCTGACGGCAAAAGGGGCCTCTTGTGAGTGACTGCAGTTTGCTCCCTAATGAATACACTCGGAAGAAAACTGCAGGGATGAGGTACATTTCCTAGAGAGCTCATGTCATAAAAAAATACATAAAACATGAATTTGTAAAAGAGCTTAAAAAAAAAAATACTGTCACTGTTTTAATATCTCCTTTACGTAAATGAGGCTGGTGTGTCAGTATAGACTGCTGACGTTTTGCTAAAACTTGAGCCTGAATCTCACCAAAGGAAACCCAGACCACAGTGGAATAGATAGGAAGTCAGATATTCAGAGCTTGTTGACTGAACGGGTTAATTCAACAGTGGTCTCCTGTTAAATAAAGGTAAATGTACAACAACTCCGAGTCTCTCATCTCCCATGCATTCCAAAGGGAGCGTTCCCTCAGGTCCTGAACTATGTGCATTGTCACGCTGCCGCAGCGGCAGCTCCCTGCAGACTAGTACTGGGGGATTTCTTGCTTTTTGACAGACAGTTAGGTCTTTACTCTTCTTTGCATTTAGAAGGAATGACTAGAATTTCTTTTTATCACATTGTAGTTTTCCTTCCAGATTTGTGTTTGGTTGGTTGGATTTATTGGCAAGCATCAATGCCGCATTACCCGTCGCCTTCCAAGTGTTCACCGGGCCGCCGTGAGGCCACTGGAAAGCACAGCATTGTCTGCAGAGGGCTGGGACTGCTCCTTCACCACGGGGTCTGCAAGAGAACAGGATGGAAGTCAGGCGAATCTGGGCTGGAAGGTGTGGGAGACACCATCATGAAAAACCCCCCTCCGCAGTGGGGTACAGTGAGATGGACAGACTGACGAGAAAGCCAGGGTCAGAAGGACAAGAGAAATTACAGAACTAAGGTGAGAGAAAAATCAGACACTGAAAAATAATCAGGGGAATCTGCTCTTCTAGTCAGCTCCTGCACTTCCCTCAGAGGGCAAGTTCAACTACGGAGACTCCTGGAGAAGAGAGGCCCACAAACACTGACTTCCCACTGTTCAAAATCACTACTAATCTTTTATGTGTTATTTTCTTTGAATGCTAATGTCAGATCCAACCCCCAATTTCTTCAAATCACGTGCAGTAATGAGCACTTTGGAGCAAAGGAATGAAAAGAGCCATTAGAAGACCTATCAATTTTAAGCGACAGTCATTTGAAACACTTCTTTTTTTTTTTATACAGAAGATGTGTATTCAGAAAAGTGGACGGATCATGAATTACATTTTACAAACACCAGATTTCTTAATTGGATCTAACTCAAAAGGGTGAAAATAGCTTCTGGTGCCAGAAATTGGAAAGAGGACCCCTGAGGTGCACTTGTCCGAGGTCTAGAAGGCCAAAGGGTAAAACCTTTCCAATTTGTTGTCTGCTAATGTTTATGGACCAGCAGGTTCAAGATTTATATTATTCGGGTAAGATCTGCTTAATCTTCAGAGGGAAAGAAAAGAAAGGAAGACTGCATACTGGCCAAGCCAACAGACAGGCTGAAGGTTTTCTTCTCCATTCAGAGAGTGAGCTGAGACGGGTCCCGTAACCTTTATCCCCAGTCTCCTCTGTGCCTGGACTGAGTCATCTTACGTTGCCAGGATTAAGGGGAAAGTTTATTTGAGATATACTTTATTGGGGGGAAGGGCTGTACACATGCAGACAATACACAACCACAAGCATTGAATACACACACGCACTTGGAAGTGAGACCTAAAAATTCTTCAACTGAGGTAGGATTTTAGTGGGGTCTTTTATTTATTTATTTATTTGAGAGAGAGAATGAGAGAGAACGTGGCGGGGGGAGGGGCAGAGGGAGAAGCAGACTCCCTGCTCAGCAGGGAGCCCGATGCAGGACTCGATCCCAGGACTCCAGGATCATGACCTGAGCCAAAGGCAGACACTTAACCAACTGAACCACCCAGGCGCCCTAGTGGGGTCTTTCCACACCTGCTTTCCTTTCATCAAGTTCCTTTTATTTATTTAACTCATTTCCTTCTTTAAAAATATACTACGGTCACCTCATTACTTTTAACTAGTTTTCTGAGGGGAAAATATCTTCGATTAGGTTTCCACACAGACGTATATATTTGAAAACAATGTTTAGGTACTTGTGGTCTATCAACTCAGGGCCACAGGGAATGGGTCCACAGACCAGACTCAAGCGGAGCTAAGGCAGTGGACAAACACCTCTGCAGATCAAGAAACGGAACTGCAAAGCTGTCTCAACAGTCTAGAACTAATGAGGCCAAATTCCAAGGAAGAGTCAATCCAAATACCTAGAATTCTCTTGACTGGCCTCAAAGATAAAGAACAGAAGAATTTTTTCTTTAATAAATTACACCCCTGGAGACTCACAGAAGTACGGGTGCTCCATGGCCTCTTTGGCAGTCAGTCTCTGTTGATGGTCGTATCGCAGAAGTTTGTCCAGAAGATCTAGAGCCTCGGGGCTGACGAGGTGTCTGTTCTCACTATGGATGAAGTTTTCCCAGCGTTTCCGTGAATGTCTGAGAAGGAAAGGGAAGCATTAGTACCGAGAGTCTATTCAACAAGAATCCTGATGTTACTAGGGCTAAAAGCAACAAAATCTTAGGATACTGACTGCGCTGATTTCAAGCTCGTTAAACCTCCTTCTCACTGGTAGCTGCCCCACCCCCAGAGGGCCACTCGCAGCATCCTGAAACAAAAACCGTGCTCTCTGACTGATAAATAAGAGGAGCGAAAACTTCGACATCATGATTTAGTATTGGTGGCACCTTCTTAGATCATTTCTTATGCCTCAGGCTTTTAGTCCATTCTGGCGAGGCACAGAGGGGACAGAGTTATTTTTGTTGTTCAGCAGAAATATTTAGAGAGCTAGCCTCAGAAACACAGCGGCTCCATAAAACAGTTTGAAAATCGTCAGCGCATTTACTTTTCAACACTATTGCACTGTACCTGCAAATATGCTTTAAAATTTGCTACCTTGTAGAAAATACATTACACAGAAGAAAAAACTATAAATCTCTTAATCAAAAAAGAATCACAGCTTTCTAACATTTTCCAGTAAAATAAGCATATGCTGTATCAGAAAGCTTTTTTCTGTAACAGGATTTTGTCTTCCATTTTCCACCGACTGACAGGTTATCTCTTAGAGAAGTACAATGATCAGAAGACACATGTAAACAATTCCCAAATATCTCAAAGCAAGTTAAAAAAAAATACGGGAAGAAAGGAGGAGACTTCAATTTTGCTATGATTAGCAAGCGATTTTGGTGAACAGTCCCACTTCTGAAATGGGGTACGTTAAAACCCTTGTTCTCTCTCCCTCTCTCTTACTTACTGTCCCAGGATATCGTTGAAGTGTGGATCTAGGTCTATGTGATACTTCTTCAGATACCCATACAGCTCATCTGTACCCAGAACCTTGGCAATGCGAACAAGCTGAAACACAAAACAAACTGACCAAATCACTGAGCACAGAGCTCACTGCAAGCCTGTGAGGATGTTATCCCAAGGCACTGGGGACTTCCACATCACTGAGTCCTCAGGGACCAGATGTAGGCTGGAGCCTGGGGCCGACAGGTGGCAGACCCCAGGACATGGCAGACCCCAGGACACGATGTTCACAGAAATCCAATTTCCAAACTGCCTTTAAAATGGTAACAACTTACAGCAATAATCTCCTAGAAGTTGACCAACTGTGGGGGTGTCACAAGCTAATGACTACAGTCTGGTTTTGTTAGTCAAGGACTGCCTGACTTCTTCACAGACTCACTCTGAAGTTGGGCATAAGAGAGCTTTATCTTTCTCTACGTTTGGGGGGCTGGTAACCACAGACAAAATGTCATGAAAGTCTTTATCCTGAAGGAGAACTTAGTGCAGACGCTGAGTGATATTTAGTGGCTCGAGGATAGCACCCCTGTCATAGGACTCCACTTTCTTGGCATGTGCCCCACACGGGGGAAGAGCCAGTGCTTGCTCACCTGGTCGTAGTTGTCCTGTCCATGAAAGAAGGGCTCCTTTCGGAAGATCATGCTTGCTAACATACAGCCCAAACTCCACATGTCCAAGCTGTAATCATACATCTGGGGACATAAGGTCAGCCTGTCAGTTCAGTGAAGGGTATTACAAATGCGTTTCTCTGATCTGGATTTCTAGTCTTCAGCTGACCTTTGCACATATTTTAGAATTCAAAGGAATAAAAAAAAAGTCACGGAGAAAAGTCTGAAATTATCGCTTTAGGCTGGGGTTTTGAATATATCCAAACTGACTGACTAAATAGCAAACGAGGAGAAGCCCCAAGGAAACACACAAAGAAGGCGGAGGTGCTTGGCTAAGAGTTTTACCTGATAGTCCACAAGGAGCTCTGGGCCCTTGAAGTACCTCGAGGCTACACGGACATTGTACTCCTGAGCAGGATGGTAGAACTCCGCCAGACCCCAGTCTATCAGTCGCAGCTACAAACATGACAGAAATTGAACACGTAAAGGAGTGATTCTAGACGCCCATGCCTTAGAACAAGGCCACATCACATTAGCTAACAATTACGTGGGCCACATGAAAAATGTTAGCAAGTGCACTGGCAAAAATTACACTTTCAGCAATTGTGGAAGAGGTCACTTCTAGAGCAGAGCACTCAGAATCTTATGTGCTTTTTCTTTTTTTAAAATTTAAATGATCCTGGCTTATCATCCTCTTCAGATCAATCAAGCTTAAGCTTTTCACTCTGCGTCCATATCACTAGCGTGTGTAGCACACTCCCCCGTCATTAACAGCCTCCATTATAAGCTCTAGCCACAACTGAAAGGGTTGGGGACGCAGGCCCCAGTCCAGCATTGAAGCACTGCTCCAGCTTTTCGTTCACCTCCTAGTAGCTGATTTGTTTACTCACCAACCAGGGACAACCAGAATTGGATATCAAAAACAGGAGGGACCCAAGTGTACTTTTAAGGCCAGGCAGATTGATTGGTCTGAGGGTCATTAAAAGAAGGAGAAACCATCAGCTGGAGTTTCTTTGCGAGGCCCTCTGGAAAACCATGACCAAAATAAACAAGGGACTACAGTGAGGCTAGGCTGTCTACTTTCCTTGTGTACCATACTTATGCAAAGTAGAAAGCAACACTGAAGGCTGAAGAAGTAACAGTAACACAAATCTGCAGTACCACCTAGGTACTGGCCAGTGTTGTGGTCTGCTCTAGGCCTCCCCGGAAAGCCTTGTTGCTTCCTGGCTGCAATGGTACCTTCTTCTGCTGGTGATCTATCATGACATTGTGAGGTTTCACATCCCTGTGCATGATTCCCTTGCTGTGGCAGTAATCCAGAGCCTATGAGATAAGAAAGCACAGAGAAAAGTAAGCAAACCATCTACCAACCCCCAATGCAAGCATATTCCTATTATTTGTGACAGCTTGACTTGGATACAGTCTCCCAAGGGTCAGCTTACTGTCTGTAACAGAGGAGAACAGACATGCTTCAGAAGCCCCCCCCCCCGCCCCCGCTCTCTGTGCACACTAGGCTGGCAGCTGGTGGAAAGGGGGCTATGTTAGGGAGGGGACACGGAGATTCTTCCTACTTAGGTGTTAGTAGGTAACACTTCACCAGCCACCTGGATTTAGAAATCCTACATTAATCTGTTGGTCTAACTCAATGGGTTTAAAACCAGATCTGGGACACTCACTAGAGTCCCTCTCACCATGGTTCAAATGGCACACAAGAGTCCCTGTGGGGATGAACAATGACATCACAATGTGTCATTCAACGTGGCTTGTCTTTTAGCCCAGTCCCCCATGTGTCCGGTCCTTCGAGATTACCAAGTATTCTAGTATTAGTATTTTCTTTTAAAAACAACCCTTGAGCCAGGGGCCTTTAAGAATTCTATTTTTACTCTAAGGGAAGATATTGCTTCCTACAAGATAGATGATATGCAGATAAGATTTTAAGCGTACAAATCAATGATTTCTTTTAGGACATTCACAGAGTTGTGTGACCAGCACCACAATCCAGTCTTGGAACTCTGCCACCATCCCAAGAATTCCCCTTCAGCTTGCCTGTGATCAATCCCCATCCCCCCTTGCCCCCTACCTCAGCCATAACCACAAACCTGCTGTTACTACCGATCTGCCTTTTCTGGGCATTCATAAAATGAAATAATACAATATACAGTATTCTTCTTTCCCTCAGCATAATGTTGCCGAGATTCATCTGTGTTCCCTTTTTCTTGCTGAGTAGTATTCCACTGTAAGGCTGTACTAGTTGATGGACATCTGGGTTGTTTCCAGTTTGGGGCTATCATGAATAAAGCTGCTTAGGAATATTCACATACAGGTCTCTGAGAGGACCCAGGCTTTCATTTCTCTTATGCAGATTCTTAAGGGTGGAAGTGCTGAGCTGTCTGTTTACGTCAAACTTTTTAAGAGTCTGCCTAATTGTTTTCCAAACTGCCTGCTCCATTTTACATCCCCAGCAGTCACGTAGGAAGGTTCCAGTTTCGCCACATTCTCGCCAACAACTCGTAACTGGTTCACCCTTGGGATTATAACTGTTCTGGTGGGTCTGAAGTGGGACCTCACTGTGGATTTGAATTGTATTTCCTAATTGGGTCATCAAGTTGACATCTTTTTGGGTGTTATGATCATCCTGTATCCTCTTTGGATAAATACTGAGTCAAATCTTTTTTACCATTTTTATCTTTTTTTTTTTACCATTTTTTCTCTGGGTGGTTTGTTTTAGATAATACAAAAATTTGCTTCTAAATCTCCCTTTCTGAACATAGTAACTATTCCCATACATTTCAAATTAGGACCTCTGGCTTGTCTTAAAAAGCACTGCAGCCTATCTGAGTGCCATGATTTACTCCTTCGGTAATAATAATCACAGCAACCCATCATCTTGTGCTTCCTACTATGTGCTTGGCACGGAGTGCTTTTAGGGGAGTTTTCCACAGGACAAGATAAGGTTTTTCCACCTTGGCACTGCTGACATTTTGGACTCTGGATAATCCTTTGTTGTGGGGAGCTGTCCTGTACACTGCAGGACGTTTAACGGAATCCCTGGCTTCTTCCCACCAGATGCCGGTAGGACTCTTCCCCAATTGTGACAACCACAAACGGTTCCAGACTTTGCCAAATTGACCTGGTTGAGAACCACTGGACTAGGTCAGAGAACGATCCCCAGGATAAGCATTCCAAGAATAAACAAATTTTGCTTTCCCCAGACACAAAAAAGTAGACATCGTATGATGCTTTATATATGAAGGTTAAAAAACAGCCAAAACTAAACTATGGTGGTAGGAGTGAGAAGAGTATCTTCAGAAAAGGGGATCCTGAAGAGCAGAGAGCCTTCTGGGGTATTCATAATATTCTCTACCAGCCCTGTCCAACAGAACTTTCTGCAATGCCAGGAATATTCTGTATCTGCACTGTCTAATGTGGTAGCCACTAGCCACATGAGGCCACTGAACACTTGAAATGTGGCTGCTGTGATTAAGGAACAGAATTTTAAATTAAAATTTAAATAGCTACCTGTGGGCAACAGCTACTGTACTGGGCAGCAGCACAGTAATATATAAATCTTGGTGAAGGTTTCACTTACGTAAAAACCCAAAAACCTGTACACTTAAGATTTATTCATTTATGGGGGCACCTGGGTGGCTCAGTCGTTAAGCGCCTGCCTTCTGCTCAGGTCATGATTCCAGGGTCCTGGGATCGAGCCCCACGTCAGGCTCCCTGCTCAGCGGGAAGCCTGCTTCTCCCTCTCCCACTCCCCCCGCTTGTGTTCCCTCTCTCTCTGTCAAATAAATAAATAAAATCTTAAAAAAAAAAAAGTTTATTCATTTATGGAAGTTCTACTTCAATTTGATTTTTCTCTTTGTTTTGTTTTCATAACAATAGGTGTAGCAAGATTCCACAATGGCTTTGTGGCAGTGCCTTATGAAACCAGGGCTCCTGAGGACAGACCTCCCCGGATCTGAATCAGGAGACCGCACTGTGTACCCAGGAACCACTCAAGAGCCCTCACCTCAATTTCTTCTACATTTTCCATGCAGCAGATTTCCTCTTCCTCATCCCCATTTTGTTCCCCGCCAAAGAGAAAATTTAACAAATGTTGATTCTGTTATTTTGCCTAGTCTTTGCCCAAAGGAATGAACTAATTAGGACCATAATACCTGGGATGTGAGAAACACTTGAGGAGAGCAGAGGCTGAACAAGTACAGTAAGTGAACAGATTCTTTTGCCAAGTTCACTAGTCGGGGACTCCCTGTGGAGTCGCGGACATGGTTTTAAATTCCTTAGGGGAGTTATTTCAGTTTCAAAATCTGGTATTATCTGACCGTTAAGCATGAAAGACATTTTTCAAGCTTCGTTCTGGGGTTCCGTGCCTCATTAGCAGAAAGAAGGCCCTTACTGCCTAGCCGCTACCTCCAGAAAGCAGAAGGGTTATGAGACACACAGTACTGAATGACCAGCCTGTGAAGACCTGCATTATCGGAATGTCTTCACCTGACCTAAGCACAACTGTACCAGGTTATCAATCTTCATCTTTGGTGTGCTAAGTGAAAACCACAAAATCTTAACACCTTACTTAAAAAAAAAAAACAACAACAACAACAAAAAAAACCAATTGTGAGATTTGGATTGCAGCTCTCATTGGGTGGATGCAGGGGGTTCTCCACAAAGCACCCGCAGGGAAGGAGCTAGCTGGACAGTTCGTAAGACCACAACACTGCAAACCCCTTCCCCACTGACGCCTTCCATTCTGGTCTGGAGAGGACACGCAGAAAGGTGTGATGAACCAAGCTCTACCTTCACGTTTCTGATCTTATTGACAAAGGAAAGACCCATTAGTTTTAAGAGTGGACTCTTAAATCCGCCACCTTGGTACTAATGACAAGTGGTTTGTATAAGCACTTCTAAGAAAACACATTTACCTCACAGAGCTAGTTCTTCAAACCCCCATTCCCTAAAGCTTAGCCTTAATTAAACTTGGGATTTTGTTCAAGTACCTGTTCACAATCCCATCAAAACTCCATCTTGGCAATTTTCTTCAATAATGCCAATAAGTCATCTCTGTCTTTCAGAGGTTCTTAACTTGAGAGCCACACCCCCCATAAAACTTTATGTAATACCGTATATTTATACATGCGGGGAGGGGGAGTTTATATGTTCTCATTAGATTCTTAGTGATCCATGACTCAAAACAAATTAGGAGCTACTCCATTTTATAAGCCATTTTAGAATTCTTTAACTAAGTGCTTACCTAGACAAACTAAAAAAGATCATTCCTCCACCAACCAATAATGCTTCCAAATTTCTGTCTTAGGAGATTACTAAGTCTGCTAGAAGGACCACCCATTTAAATAGCTACCTGTCAGGGCTGGAGGGTAGGCTGGGAAGGGGATTATGAGTGACGGCGAGAGAAAGATGGCCACAAATTCCTGCCCTCCCAGTAGGCATGTCCCTCCACACTGTCATTTTAACGCTCTGCCCATCAAAAGGTGAAGTCTACTTCCCCCCTCCTTGAATCTAGGCTTGGCCAGGATTTGCTTTGGCCAACGGGGCATTAGGAAACAATGATACAAGCAGAGGACTGAAAAGTGCTTACATATCAAACTTTGCCCTCTTGTGCTACTAGGAACCCTGAGACCACCACGGGAAGGAGCAACTTAGACTAACCCCCTGCAGAACGAGCCTTCAGCTATTCCAGCTGCCATCCCAGATATGTGAATGAGGCCATCCTGGAACAATGTACCCCAGGCAAGCTGACCCAGAAAAAAGACTCACCCACAAAATTAGGAGAAATAATAATTTTTTAAAAAACTGTTAAGTTCTGGGTGATGTGTTATACAGTGAAAACTAATAGTATTAATTAAGCAGCAAAAAGAAAACCCAAGGGCCAACAAGAGCTATGAAGGAGGAGCTTCTGATTTCTGACATAATGTTCCTGGTATCTCTTGACTCGGCCATCTTTCTCAGTTCCACTGGAAAGTTTCTATGTAAAGATCCCACAACAGAGATCTCAATGTAAGTTAAAACAAAACAAAAAAAACCCCTTGGGGTGCCTGGCTGGCTCAGTCAGTAGATGATGTGACGCTAGATCTCAGGGTCGTGATTTCAAGCCCCATGTTGGGCGTGGAGCCTACTTTAAAAAAAATTAAAAACAAGAACAAAAACAAAACAAATCTCACTAAATTCTCTAAGTATCAAGAAAGAGTGCCTGAATTCCCTTCATCCTCTCAAAAACTTCTTTAACGAATACACCTGAAAAAATTCACTGCTTATGAATGCCACTTACCTTAAGTAGCTCATACATATAAAACCGGATATCGAAGTCTGTCAGGATCTGGTAAAGTTGCTGGAACAGATTTCAGAAAAGAGAAAGTTAATACAGTCTCATCACATCTTGTCATCCCAAACACTGGTCATCATTCTCTGTAAACTTACAGCTTAAGTCACTAAAGAACCCCAGGACTTTTTTTTTACCCTGATCTGCAACAAATGGGGACAAAGACCAAGGACAAGGGTGTAATACTTTTGTCTTTGTTGGGGGCGGGGGGGGGGGCGGAATTCCCAGGAGAGAAATGTGGATTCAACGTGGATCTTTTAAAAACGTGTTCAGTGCTCCATGATTTCAACACCCCAAATTACATTATTATGGAGATGAAGTCCAAGTTGTCCAATTGTCCTCATATTCTCACTATACCTAAACAAACTAACCCCACTGAAGCAGCACAATGTCCGTTAGAGAACTGAGTTCTGAGTGGAAGAGCAAAACTTGAAGAACTTCAAAGGCCCATGTGGTAAAAAGTGTCAACACAGTCTGTCTGCTCATAAAAGAAACAGGAAGAAAGTGACTGCTCCAGCTCTAGGAGATGGTAAGAGACTTAAGAAAGGAATAGGGGAGTGAAAGAGAGAAAAAATGGGAGCCAGGGACTGAAAATGATTCCAGGCCAAAAGGACATACAAAGAGTTCTCATACTGGGACAAAGACACACCCACTGGGAGGTTTTTTTTAAATTTCCATTTCTAAGAGGCAGAGTAGCCTTAATACATCCAGGTTCATTAAAATCATCACAAACCTTCATCAGAAACTATACTATTATTTTTGGTATTCAATTCCAAGTAGATCTGTTTCCCCATTAGTCCAAAGCAGCACTTTCTATAAAATTAGTCAACACAACTTTATTAAACATGCTTTGTTTCTTTATTGGAAGACTGGCAACAGAGGAGAGCTCTCTAAGGAGCACTGACCGGGCTATACAATGTATCTGTGCGAGGGGGGTGCAAAAGTACACAGCCCTGTTTGTTTGTAGTTGTAAGAATGATACAAAAACATGAAACCTGGCTTCATATATATGCGTGTGGGGGATGGACAGCTAGGGCACAGGGAAATAAAGGAGATTTTTCATTGCATATCATTTTATATTTTAGATCCATGTAAATACATTACCTGTTCAAAAAGATAAAACAATTTGCCAAGAATCAAATTTGACATCTTCTAAGAACACCAGGACTGAGCTTCTTTCTCAAATTTCCTCTGCTGAATAAAAGTAGTTCTCCCTCTAGCTTAGTAAAAATACTTGCCTTCATCAGCCTCAGGCACAAGCCAGCTCAGGGCAGCAGAGGGAATGAGACCATACAGACCAGTCTGCTGGTGGTGCCTGGGCTGGGAAGGAACTACACCCAGGAACAACAGCACAAACACACCACCGCTTCTGCTCAGGAGGGACTCGACTGCGTAACAGCCAAACACCCAAGTGTTCTGTTCTCCTCCAGCTCTGAACAGCAAGGAAGACTTCTCAGCCAGCATCCCAACAACCCGTATGTACAGACAGCGGCTGAAGATACCATCTCTTTGGGTGTCAAATCAGCTCCTCCTCTGAGAATGAAGATCGCTCCCAGAGACTGTGCCAAGTTGAACCTCAAGTCAATAAACAGGCCATGAAAGCGAAGCCAGCATTTTCTAACCCTCAGAGGGTTGGATTATTTTATTTCCAGAGACTAAGTATGGGCTATTTTACCATTTGGACTTTTATCTCCTGTCATGTGGTATCTATATCAAGCATCTCTGTAAATGGTTGGTGTTAAGGCATAACAATAAATGTCCTTGGCCTGCCAATATAATATTTCTAGCTACTCCAGCCAATATCAATTTTTATGTAATATAAAACACTAAATGAATACAGTGGTTAGGCCTAATAATTTATGAAGTACCAAATGACAGGCTGACATTCACTCTCATTTCTCAGGACCTCTGGGTAGGAGGAGACCAAACTACATGTGTAACATTTTACCACCTGGGCCTAAAGTTCAGGACTCACCAGGGTCCACAGTCTGGTTTCTTACGACTTTTGCACTCTGTCTCCATTGCCGCCCTGGGGGGTCCCTAATGCCAACACACCTGCTGGCCCGGCCTCCCCATTCTTCCTTCTCTAGTGTCCCCACCTCCCCCCAAGTCTAGAAGACCCTGCCCCTCTCCCTTAGGCTGTAAGTCAAGAGAGCTGACAGTGGCCCCTTCCTTCTCTGAACCCCCTGGCTGTTTACTGTCCTCTGGGGTGTTGAGAGGACATGGACGGCAACCACATCCCCAGAGTTAATGTTCCCCACTCAGGTACTGGCAGTGACCTGAAGTTCTCAAGATAACCTCACTCGGCTGTGAGCGACAAGGGGCTGCTCCACTCTGCCCGCACCCCAAGTCCCATGTCAGTGTCCCCACGGATCAGGCACACACACAATGGGGAAAAATGGGTGCTGTGGCTGGTAGTAGTCACCAACTTGTTGACTCAAGATCTTTGCTTTCCTACCCCCAAGTATGCAAGGGGCCACCATACATAATCTGGTCCATATTCTAAGTGCTTGGATAACACAACAGAGGAGTAGCATACGCGGTATATACCCTACCCCGTCAATGGTGGTTCTCAGCTTGTACCCAGAAGGCAATCGCTAAATATTTGTTTTTGATAATGTTCACCAGTCAATGGAACAAAATTAAAACTGTCTTCCAGGAAACACAAGTGTGAAGAGTCCGTGACAAGTTATAAAGGGAAATTTCACAAGAACCACACTTTTCCTCCATTCTTCTTGGCCAGCTATGTGTAGAACATTGTTAACCAACCAACTGCAAAGTGTTGGCAGGAAGTTAGCTTTGTTTATATTTTCATGAAGTGACTTATCAAAAGCAAAACAAGCCTATGCTTCCCAGGAGATTACAAAGGTGCTGAGGAAGAAACTATTCACCCATCCTAGTCTGGTTCCAAAGCCTCAAACACACTGGCATTTTCTTAGAAATCAGGCCTACTCCAGGATGGCTCAAAAGACCCAAGGTGGAAACATCCTGGGACTTTTTATTAACCTCAGAAACTTTGAGGAGGACAGTGGAAAAAAGGCAATTTGGTCAACAGCCTCAGAACCTCCTTGGTCTAAAACCACCACCCAGATCGGAATGGCCTCACTCTCACTGTATGCCCACGTGGGCCTCATTCTTGCTGTATGCGCATCGGTCCTCGGAGACTGCGGGTGTACTTCGGCTGCATCACAATCAGCTATAGGTTCCAAAGCCCCATCCCCGAGGACTGTCATTCAGGAGGACTACAGAGCTCAAGAAGGTTCCCAGCCACATGTGGGAATCACCGACACAGCAAACTCTCACCCTGCACACACAGCTTGCACATTCCCTCACCCACACAGCTTAGTCTGTGTCCAGAAATCCCAGTGGTCCCCACATAGGGAGAAGAAAAAAGCCAGGGGGAGTGGGATATAAAGTGAAAGGTGCTTAAGGCAGTCTCACCAGTATTGGCATTAACATGTAACCCCAAGATCCAGAATAAAACCAAGGTCAATATTTTTAGAAATTTAAGGAAGCAGAACAAATCACTAATCAAGCAAATCGAAGTTATTACTAATCACCTGAACATGTTTTATAAAGAAGATCCTCTCCACATCAAAATACTAACAGCATTAACAAGGCCTCAAGACATCAGCTAGTCAAGGCCCACCTCCATGGAAGTGATTTAGAAATTCACCACAGAGCAATATGGGCCTATCTTCTCAAACGGAGTCTATTCAGGACGCCTTACCAATCTTTAAAATGTCCAGATGATATATTTTGCTTAAAATGTCTATTTATTTTTATTTATATTCTTCCAAAAGCATAGAAAACTGCCACAAACTGTACTTTAGCTTCCTTGAGAAAATGTCAAGTTTGAGAGTTTTCTGTAACTGTTCATTTCAACTATTAGAGACTGGCTTTTCCTACTCCTTTGGAAGTTTTGTCTTTTTTTCTGAGTGTCACGATGTATCTTTTATGATCTCTTTCACACATATGAAGCGTAACTGATGATTTCAAGGAGAAATCGACCAAACCAGTACCTCCACCATAAAATGAAGTTATCAAGGGGAAAAATGAGTAAGGCCATAGAAGATCTGAACTAAATTAACAAGCTTGATATAAAATATGGCCATGCACTAGAGTCACAAAGCAACTGTCAACAAAGTCCAAAGAACCAACATTATATGGGTCATGTTCCTCTGGACACAGTGCAGACACATTAGGAATCAACAATAAAAGAATATTTTTGTTGAAAAACTACATGGCTCCTCCACATTATTCACGAACATACAGCTATGAAGGACATTCCTAGGACAATAATCACCAGGAAACTCTTGAATATGGACTCTGTACTGTGTATCAGATGGCATTATCGTAGAAGTATTCAGTGTCTTCAGTGTGCTATAACAGTACTGGCAGGTAGGAAAAGGTCCTATCTAGCTCCAGCACGCGTATATTTAGGAGTGAAGTATCACTGATGCATACAACTTACTTTGAGATGATTTCAACAAAAAGACAGAGATAAAGAGGGGAGGGTGGGGATGGGACAAGAACGAATAGCCGATGTGGTAATTATTAGCAACTGGTAAATCTAGGGGAAAAACATGAAGGTATTAACTGTGCTACTCCTTACGATTTTCAGTAGGTTTAAAATATTTCAAAGTACAGGGGCGCCTGGGTGGCTCAGCCATTACACGTCTGCCTTCGGCTCAGGTCATGGTCCCAGGGTCCTGGGATCCAGCCCCGCATCGGGCTCCCTGCTCCGCGGGAAGCCTGCTTCTCCCTCTCCCGCTCCTCCTGCTTGTGTTCCCTCTCTCGCTGAGTCTCTCTGTCAAATAAATAAAATCTTTAAAAAAAATAAATAAAATATTGCAAAGTACAAAGTCAGGGGAGAAAAACCCAAATCCACGAGTTTGGAATCTGTACTCCTTTTTCAAAATAAAGATTTTATTTATTTATTTGAGAGAGAGAGTGCGCGCAGGGGAGGAGCAGGAGAGGAGGCAGAGAGGGAGGGTAAAGATGAGCAGACTCTGAGCTGAGCGCTGAGCATGACACAGGGCTCCATCCCATGACCCTGAGATCACGACCTGAGCTAAAACCAAGAGACTAGCGCTCAACCGACTGAGCGACCCAGGGGCCCCTGGAATTTGTACTTCTAATTTGAAAACGATACAGAAGTGAGTTCCATAACCAAGGAACGCAGCTAAGGCGCTGCTTGATGTTGCACAGACTTAAAGCCCACTTACCACCAATCAAGAAAGATAGGAACACATGAAATGAGCAGACTTCCACTCAAGAAGTTGGGGGAAAACAATGAAAACCCAAGAATGAAAACAGTTAAGGAAGAAAGAAGGGAGGAAGAAAGAAAATAATTAAGATAGGAGCAGAAACAAGGAAACATTTGAGCAATAAAACCAAAAACTGGTTCTTTGAAAGTATTAGTAAAAGAGATCTCTAGCAATACTGGCAATTTTTTGAAAAGAGAGAAAAGTCCCAAATAATGTTGAAAATGTAAATGAAAACATAATTATAAACATATTAGTCTTTAAGCCCTAAGAAAATTCTATTAACTTTGTGTAAATAAAATTGAAAGTGGACCTTAGAAATCGTTACCATTCAAACAAACTCACGAAGAGACAAAAAAACCAGGATAAGCCCTTCACTTAGATGTACATTCTGAAAAGGCAAGTATAGTCCAAAGTCTCCCTTCTCTCCCAAAAGACAAGTAGATAATCCCTATTTCATATAAACTTTCAGAGAATAGAAAGGAAGAGCTCAACTTATTTTATGAAGTTAGGATAATCAGGAATCTACAATAAAAGGAAATTATGGATAAAAATTTATGATCAATTACAACCATAAAAAATTCTGAAAAGAACAGGCCGTGGGTTGTATCACTGCTGATTCACCTCTGATACTAAACCTGGGACAAACCTCCTCTGAGCGATACCTTAAATCCAGTTCCTGATACACTTAACAGTAAAATGAAAAAATAAAAACAAGCTTTTCTAATTAGACACAGGACAAAATAAAAAGCCTTCATGAGGACATTAAACTAGCTGACTTCCCTATTTGCGGCCTGTCATACTACCTGGAGCAGAAAATGATGGTCCTGTCATGATCTGCTCTTCCAAAACACGTATTGGCTACCTGATATTTAACAATCTTGTAAGCTGACTAAAATGGCAGGGCTTGCTTGACCACTCACGGGGGCCCTGCAGTGTGATATCGCAGACCAAACACATCCTACCCTGTTTCTTCTTGAAGCTCCTCTAAAGTAACAGTAAAGGAGTGGGGCTTGGGGGATTCACTCCCAATAACTAAGAGAATGGAAGAGATGACAACATCTTGAAGCAAGATAAAAATGTCCAACTGACATAGCAGACCAAATTCTGCCAAGAGCAGAGGGCTCCAGAAGCAGACAGCTGCACATGGAAGAACTCCCGAAAGAACTGGTGACCCCAGGTATCAATGAAAGAGAGTCAACAGATTCAGCTGAAAACAAGAAAACAAGTTTAAAACACCACACTGGAAATGGGGAGTTTCGTGAAAGCGCACATTAACACTCCCCACCGGGCTCCTCTGCTGGAGGCCGGGAGGCTCGCAGCCAGGCTCACATCCTCCAGAAAGGAGCTGACAAGCAGTCATCAGTAATTTCATAACTCTTAAGAGTAGACAGTCAAAAACCATGACATTTCAGACAATTGCAACAGAGACAAAAAGAAGAACACACACACAAAAAAGAATTTGAAAGAAAAACTGAGAAAAGACTACAAGAAGAAAACATGGGGTGGGGGAGAAAACCCACACATTCTCAGTGAGAGAACAGAAGATATTACATAAAAGAACAGGACACTACTTTTAAAAGTTCTGAGAACAGAACAGAGCTAAGAGATGAAGTCTAACATTTGAATGAGTTCTAGAAAGTGAGAACAAAGAAGGGAAGAAAATCAAAGAATGTCAAAAATACTGTTCTAAAACGGAAGGACGTGAGTTTCTAGATTGAAAAAGCCCAGCAAGTGTCCAGAACAAAAGATAAAAGTGACCCATTCGAAGGAACATCATTGTGAAATTTCACAGACTGCGACGGAAGAGAAAATCCTAAAAGCTTTCCAAAGAAAAAACCAAAACCCAAAACAGATCACATAAGGAGAAACCAGAATGGCTTCAGTGGTAATAATGGAAAAAGCTCTTCAAAATTCTGAGAAAATTATTAGTTACAACCCAGAATTCTATGCCATGGCAAGTCCATTAATTAGGAAGATAAAATAAAAATGTTTTCAGATACACAAGCCTCAGAAAACATAAATTTTCCAAGATGTCTTTAAAGAAAGCTCCTAGAGAATGTGTGCCATTAAAACATCCTTTTGAGAGTTAAGATGCAAAAGAAGTAAGATTTCTCCAGGGAGTTAAAAATTCCTGCTAACCCATCTTCTGCATGCTGTTAAATCCACAGGGCAGCTGTCAATTTAAGAAACACAAAATGCTGAAGTGAAAATTTTATATGTGTCGCCAGACAACTGGTAAAAACTCATTAAGGAAGCAGTAGCATTTAAAATTTAGGCATTTCATATGAAGTTTCATTAAGACCAGCTTTTAAACTTTGGTATTCAGGAAAATGTTCGGTTTCACTAAGAAATGCGCACACCTTGATAAACTTGGGTCATTCACAGCAAAAGTGGGATCAACCATGTGTATCACAAAAAACTCTACTGGCTAAGCACCATCAGGGTGATGAAAACATTTACATGCTACTGTTAAGAGTTCACTGTTGACTTCACCTGTAAGGAGTCACACTAACAAGGAAACTTGTTACACGTGGAAAAGCTACACTGTATATAAAACTTGCTTATTGTTTCATAAATTATAGTCCCCACGTTTATTTTCCACTAATTAACCCTATGTTGTTTTAGAGTGATTACCTAAGAAAAATTAAATGTGAGATAAAGCTCTTTTATTTTCACCCAAAAGCTTCACTCCTGATACCAGCATTTTTCAACTGCTGATGTGATTTTGGCCCTAACTTCCATCACAACAAAATCACAAGTCTTTGATTCATTGACAGAGTATTATAATAACCTAAAAGCTCCCCAAACACCCCTCAAAATCAACACCACTATTTTGTTCTTATATTGGTTTTCATGTTACGTTCTACCATGTCCAGAATAACTGGCCCCAAAAACCTTACCAGAAGTTAAGGTTGTAGTGTCTGAACTATTAATAATAAAAAAAACTCTTGAAAAAACCAGCTTAAAATCATGCTTTTAGAAGAACACATTAAGTCTAAATTAACATGCATTACAAGAAATGTAAATAACCCAGGATAGGGCTTTTCTAAAGCACAGCGACACTTAACTACCTTTTCTGTGTCATTTGCTTTGTATACAGTGTTCGTGAACACACACACACTCTTGACAGCTTGAATCCCATGTCCTGCTTCTTTTCACATGAGCCCTGTATCCGTTTACCACTTCCTATCAACAAGGGAAGATTCCTATGCAAATCAAATATCTACTTAAAACAATGTTGTGTAAAACAGGAGTGTTATAGATGAGGCATTAGCTTAGACCCAGCCCAGCAGCTATTCCCAGAGTAAGCAAGGCAAAGGGTGATGAGTAATTTCACCAAATGCAAGAACCCTACCCACTTTCTGCATCCTATACTCATGCGGTAAGGAATCCGATTTGTTACTTCCCACTCTCACCAAGGCCTTTTCCTGGCCCCCTTTTGTTCTGGAGTAACCACAGTACTTATCGCCACCTGCCCATCCCCCATTAACCCCATGCCAGAAAGAAAAAGCATATACGCACCTTAAAATCTGTATTATTGATATATTCAAATACCAAAGCTGGGGTCTTTGACTGAAAGAGAGAAGAGTAATGCCTTATAAGTATTCAAACAATAAACGTGCTTTGTTTCTGTTGTACCGATCCATCCCCAAATCCCACTTAAATGAAAACGGGATTCACTCATCAGGGAGAGCCTATTAAGAAAGTATTCTCTTGAGACTATGTGTCTGGAATTTGCTTCGAAATAAGTGGGGATGGTGGGCGGTGGGAAAGTGGGTGGCAGGGGGGTGAAACAAAATTGGCCACGAGGTTGTGGCACTGCTAAAGATGAGTGATGTGTGCAGGGAGGTTCATTATCTTATTCACTTTACTTTCGTAAATGGTTGACATTTTTCATAAGGTTCTTCTTCTTCTTCTTCTTCTTTTTTTAAAGGAGATGTATTCTCTGACCAACCTGTCTGTGGGCCTGGCACATTATGTGAAGAATTATACTCTGCAGTGTTCCAGTCTGCCAACCACAAAAGGAGTGACATGTTTTCATCTTGGTTTAGCGAGCCAGATGCATTTTACAGAATTATCATTTGTCGTGGGAATCTATCGTAGGCCTTTTCAGGATCCAAAAGGAAAATATCTATGATTATCAGTAGGCTATAATGTGAAACTACTGCCTTGGCTAGAGACCACTAGAGAATGTCTCAATTTACAAGGTAGATGTGTTTCCCTGCACCCCCCAAAATCATACTCATTTAATGCAATGAGTACCAAATGTCTAATATTTCCTTGTATAAATTTTTCAAACGTCAGATTTACTTAAGTAAGGTAAAATAATGCTCATTAGCAGTAATAAGCTTTCAAATTTAAGAGAAAAGCAGGGGCTTAAAGGGTTATAGAAAGAAAATCACCTTGGAAAACTTTATGGCTGGGACGTTTTGCTCAAGGAAGCAGGTAAAAGTTACCCAGGAAACAGGGTACAGTACATGCACACGGGGCTTTGTCCGAACGAGCAGCAGTCCCAGCAGCGCTGGTCAAAGGGTTCCTCACTAGCCCGAAGGGTACAGGGGTACAGGGCTTCGTCAAGACCACCAGATCTCTCTACTGCCTGGGAGTGAGCCCATCTCCCTACAAGTTAGGGGAGGAGGGCTCTCCCCTTGGTTTTCATCCAATTTTAATTTACTTGTGTTCCACATTATATAAAACACACACATGCCTTAAGCAACACATTACAGTTATCAGTAAGACAAGTATCATTGAGTTCTATTAACTTAAAAAAAAAGCCAAAATGCAGAGGCCACTGGTACAACAGTAATATGTACTGGCTCACACTGCAGGCCGTTTTCAAAGATGATAGAGTCCAGAGTTAGTCATTCTAAAATCAATCTGAGCTCCTCGGGCCGGGATATATTTTTAATGCCAATTAGCTAGAATCTAGCTTACAACCATTCTTCTCAGTCTTTTTAGGGTCCCAAAGGCAAAATTTTCCTTATTCTTCAGTTTAATGATCCTGTGTGATCTTGAGCGAATTACTGAACCTCCCTAGCCTTCAGTTGTCCTATCTGTACAATGTAACAATGTGGCCCAATAATAGCACCTACTCCAGTGGATTGTTGAGGACTGTGTGAGGTCCCGAACAGTGCCGGCGCACAGTAAGCGGCATGTTCGCTAGCACACTGTTTCTTTATCATGTCTTCAGCAGACAGAAGCGAAGACCCACCTCTTACACGAAACGCTAGCATGGGAGGCTAGGAAAACAGGTGAGGTAGAACAGAGGAAGAACAGAAATGGGATGGGAGGTGGTACATAAAAACTTTAGCTAATCATAAAGTTTACTCCCCAAGAAGAGAAAACAAAATTAAAGAGCACATCTAAAATGGCTACAAAGTAAGCATTTTTAACAAAAACAGTTTAGTTGTATCAGCATATACAATGTGAGCCCCAGGGACAGACAGTGAATTAAGGCCTAGGATGAGAAACAGCAAGATGCCTTCCTCAAGGGGTCTGTGGGCTGTGATCTCTATGCCAGGTGTCCACGTGGAGATAGGAGATATTCGGTATTTCCTTCTATAAGCCCAGACTTTCAGATGTCAGGCTTACTTAAGTGAAGCAAAATAAGGCTAATTGGTGGTAATAAGCTTTCAAAACTGGAAGAAAAGTTGGGGCTTAAAGAAGACATTCAGCGAACATTTGTGGGCTAAATCAGAATGAGCTAATAAACTTGGGATAGGAATTTTTCTATACACACTTTTAGGTTCCATAAAAGTGGTGGTGGCTACTTCATCTTTGGGCCACCATGATTTTTTGTGGTTTTCAAAACTACTCAGTAGTAAAGATGAACACAGTCATTCCCACTATGTAATGTTTCTCATTATTTTGACATTCTGTGTCACACCACACAGGCACGCACGCACTCACTTTCTCTTTCTCCCCCGTCAGGCACCTACCACAGGGTCCTTCACAGTGTCAATCAGCTTAATGATATTTGTTCCACCACGAAGGTTCTCCAGAATCTTAACCTCTCGTTTTATCTTCTTTTTCTTCACTGGCTTAAATACACAAGAGTAATCAGAAGTGAGATTCCTTTTGAAGTTAATAAATAAAACCTTAAAACGTCAGCTAATCGAGGGCCTATTGTGCTATCTTGCACACAATGTTAGAGAGTGTGTCTAAATTAGAAAAAAGAAATCAAGATAAAAGTGGGGCTTGCCCTTGAGAATGTTTAAGATTAAGTTAAACACAGACTCATATAGCATATGTGTCAGATCTTTAGGTAGTTACATTTAGGGCACTTACAAATTTTGAACACCCATGTCATACTTTAAAAATAAAATGCTTTTCTAGATAACTGCCAAATGCAACGCGTGCTACAGCTCTGAACAGCTGTATATCATGCACTTGCAAACAGAAAAAAATGAAACAAAATGGTGAGACACCTGCTCTTCCAATGAGTTACATGTAATTTTGTCTTCCAGGAGCGAAGACCAGTTCATGGACATCAAGTTACAAACTTGTTTCCCAGCTGCTGGCTCCCATTTCCTGTTGCCACTCCCATTTCCTCAACATCTAGAATCTGAAATCAGCACAGAGCCACTAAAACTACCCAACACATACCACTCCTAAAGAAAGAAATGATGGATCAGCAAAGGAGAAAACGGATCTCTGATCCAGTACTGACTGGAAACCTCTACTTGCTAACCTGTCCATCTGCTGGATAGAAAAATTAAAGATTGCAATCAGAAATACTAGCATTACAGGTGTTATTTGTCTTAAAGAATTTGAGGAATGTAAGTAGTTCTGGAACAACAGACAGACACATCACAATCAGTTACGTTTTATAAAGTACTTAGAACACTTGACTGGCATGTAGTAAGCACTCAATAAATAAATAAATTATTTTGTTTTTAGTTAGTGACAAACACAAAATTCCTATGTAGTGGACTCAGCCTAGTTGAACCCTTTGCCCAAGGTCCCACAGCTGACAATGAAGGGTGGGGGAAGGATTACGATCTAGACAGTGACTCTGTAGGCCTCCCTCTTGGCCACGGTGCTCTCATTTCCCAAGTGCAGCTATGAGCGAAGGTGAACTAGGGAAAAGGAGTTCTCCATCATCGAGACACTAGACACAGTTCTGATACCACAGGCAAAGAGAGTCCAATGGGTTTTCAATGAAATAAGATTTTAAAAGCCTGTGTGTGTATGGTGGTGGGAGGGGAGATATATACATGCCAGAGACACCGTCATCTTTTGTTGGTCACTAAGCTACAGCTTTGAACACATAACAAAACAGAGGGAGATTATGAAACAACACAGAGCACCTGCATCACCTTTAACAGGGTGCTTGACTGACAGGCTGGGATCTAGCTGCATTCTTCCAAGCCCGCTGCCACACTCATGTCCACTCCGCTTTGTCAGGGTTCCCGGGAGAGTAGATCTGGCTACTGTGTCGCTCTCCCACTTCCACTTAGGTATCGTACTCATTCCCTTTTTCATAATTAGGGAGCTCAAGACTTTGGGGGAAATAAAGCACTCAAACACGAAGTACAACTTGATAAAAAAAAAAAAAAAAACAGCCAGAGAAGGACACACTACAGAATAGGCTTCAAAAATGTCAGTATCAGGAAACAGAATCAACAACTGTTCCAGATTAAAAAGATATGACAACTGAATGTAACACATGACCTGGGATTTTCTTTTACTATGAAAACATTATATAAGACAATTGGCAAATGAGAACAGGGGCCGTAGATTAGCTAACAGCATTGTATCAATGTTAGTTTCTGATTTTTGATCATGGCACTGTGGGGGTACATAAGAATTGTCCTTGTTTCTAGGAAATGCACACTATAGTAAGGATCACTGTGATTTACTCTCAAGCACATAATTACATACGTTTATACACATATATATGTGTGTTTATATATGAGAGAGAGAAGGCATAAAGCAAATGTTAACATTTGAGAAATCTGAGGGAAGATATATGGGGATTCTTGTAACTTTTCTTTAAGTCTGATGTCAAAAAGTTAAAAGAAAAATAAAAGCTGGCTATTGTATCTATAAATTCAGCCAATGCTACCAGTATATATATATATATATATATATATATTTTTTTTTTTTAAAGGTTTTATTTATTTATTTGACAGAGAGAAACACAGGGAAAGAGGGAACACAAGCCGGAGGGGGGGTAGAGGGTTCAGAAGCAGGCTTCCCACGGAGCAGGAAGCTGGATATGGGGCTCGATCCCAGGACCTGGAATCATGACCTTAGCCGAAGGCAGACGCTTCTAACGACTGAGCCACCCAGGCGCCCCGCTACCAGTATATTCAATGTAAGAAAATTCTAGAGTTGGAAAGCAGTTACAGATCTGTGAGAGTGGTTACAGAGGAGAAAATACACCAGAGCCAGAGATCTGTATACACCAAAAACCTTGCTCTCCCCCTAATGGTGAATTAGTACAGGGTTAATCCACTAAGTCAGTTGCCTTTATGACAATGCCCCATATAAAGTCTTGCTTTGCCCTCTTGTTAGTCAGCAACAGGTCAGGCAGGCACACAGTTCCTGGACGATGACTCTGAGATTAAGGTATCTCTCATTATGTCCTCAGGTAATTTAGGGAGCAAGGGAGCATATTTTGCTACCCAACTGTCACCTGTCCAACAATTTCCTCACCTAGAGACTGGGGACAGCATGGCAATTCTCAAGTGGCACAATGGACTCACACAGCACCTGGAGTCCTCACATCCTGACAAAAGACCAAGAGATTATAAAAGAAGAAAGTGACCTACAGCCCAGGATACTCCTCCAAAGCATGGACATCTATTCTCTACAGGAACCAGGCCATAGGGAACTCCCTTTAGCCTCAAGCTTATTCTTCTGAACCTGGGAGATGCTCTAGAAGCTAAAAAACCAATGAGCTCCCTGGGAATGAAAGTGATCATTTTAATGCTGTAAACAGAATTAAAGAGAAAAGGCTAGAATTTATAAAGGAAGACCCTTCACATCCTATGGAAAACAGACCAAGGATTTCATGAAAATAAGAATGCTTTGAGCTGTAGCCCAGCGTTTGCATTCATCCACCTGTAGCTACACAGAGAAAATACACACTTCCATCATAGTCTCATCATTTCATCCTGCTAGACAAAGTCTCTCCCAGTTAAGGTTCATTTATTTCAATTCAGAGAATATCTGTTTAAAAGATTCAAAATGAATCAGTTCAGCTGTTTCCCAATATTCTTTTTTACTCAAAGTCTAGTAGAGCAAAATGGCAAAAAGCTTAAAAAAGAAAAAAGAAATTAAAGTATTAAATCAAGTTTCAGTAATAAATGAATTCTGGCACACACCTACAGAGAATGTTTAAAAGGAAAAAACTCAATTTGAAATTTTCTGTGCATGAGCTTAGGAAAGGAAGGAAAGGGAGGGAGGGAAGGAAAAAACAAGAAAGAGAAAGAGAAAGAAAGAGAGACAAAGAGAGGGGGTGGAAGGAAGTTTCCCAAAGGTTTCAGCCCACCTGGTGCAGAGTCCCAGCTATTCAGGACAACCTTGTTCAACATAATCCAAGAGTTAAGATACTACTTCTCTCTCCCTATTGACCAACACTGAAAAACTTAAAAGACAAACTTAGTGATGGGCTGCTTTGTTAATGAAGCCAGTGATCAGTCCTATTTACTTAAGGCTGATTTTTAAAAAGCCAGATCTGAGAATGATTTCAACTACTAGCATTTGATTGTGATTGAATTTGTGAACTAACATATACAAAGGGCATAAGAACAGGCAAAGTCCCATTTTCATTTCTTTCTAAGCACAACTGAATTAATAAATTCAAGACAGGTGGGAAGGTGGTGTAGAACTTCCAAATCTGGAATTACTTTTATTCCAGTGCCACAGTGACAACAGAGTTTCGTCACCTGCAGTAAACAATCACAATGAAAACTGGTTGCCAGGGATGCAGGACAGAGTAAGGAAGAAAAGTTCAGCCTCGATGACAGCATTTATTTTACTACCTTGGGAGCATCTCTCAAATCCACTGCAACTGACCCAAATATAAACATTATCTGAGCAATATTAATTGTTCACAGCAACTCCTCCCTTAATCTTTCAAGTCCCATCTTTCCAGTTACGTTATCGACTCCTTGAGACTGTTTATTGTCAGGGGGGTGGGTGTGTTTTAATTTAAAAAAGCAAGGCATACAGCAGGCCTTTTGAATCTCATCAAGAGTGGTACAATCCTTTCTACTACTGGTTTTGCCCTCTGAAATCATTCACGTGGCCCAACTGAAATATTGTTTTTAGAACCATACTTTATTGCTTTCTAAGTGCCAGGCACTGTTTTAAGCACATTTAATCCACTTTTAATAGTATTTTGAGAGGAGTTACTATTGGAGCACTTTTACATGAGGACGCTGAGGCAGAGTTTAAATAACTGCTCAAGGTCACAGAGCCGCAGTGTTGGGAATGCCCATCTGATCGCAGGCAGTCTACTTCCAGGACCACTTTTGGGAAAGGAGCCCTGTGTAGATGACTAAAACACTGTCATCTACCTACCCATCTCTCCAGATCTCATTTAATTCTCCCAACAACCTATGAGTTCCACAAGAAACATATATCCATTTTATTGATAGGAAAAAAGAGTCAACTGGGTATAAATGAAGATGCTGGTTCTAGAACCCAAGTCTCCTGCCCTCCATTTATAGCACTTAACACTATACTGCCCTCATCATGAGGGGACAGATCCTAAAATCAGGCTCTAGAAAGTATCTACAGCCACACTATACACATGAAAATGGGTCCTCTATGTCAAGATATTCTTTTTACAAATGGCTCACTCTCCAACCCTAATATATTAGAGGGATAAAGTTGGCACCCATATCTGGCAAGTCATCATGATGAGGGAACTGTATGGGTTAAAAAAGTATAAAAACACTGGTTATTGTGGCTTCAAACCAAGAGAGCAAAATAACATTTCACTTATGCATTCACCATGCTGCTGCAGACCCAAACCAGAGAGCCCCTGGCTGGGTCCCTATAGTTCTCTGGGTATTCATCTGTTCCGCACTCCATCTAGTACCTGTCCAAGTCAAGCATTTCCTTCCAGAAGAATCCCAATCCCCAAAACCATTAGGAACAAATTCATTTGATTTCTAGTGAGTGTTTATCCATCTTTCCAGTACAGTTCAACACCTCAAGAAGTCAAATACCCAGCAAATGTCCTAACTGCTTCTCACATCTACAAGATCCATGAGAGGGGCAGAAGACCAGGACCCTAGTGCTTACATCCCCTAACCATGTGACTCTGAGCAAACGGCATGCTCTGAGTCTCAGTTTATCTGTAAAAAGGGTTTGGGTTCTAAGGTTTCTCTGCTCCCTTATTTCATGATTCTGTTTCACTGCACTCTCAAACTCAGACCCTACAACCGCAATATTGGAAACAGCAATGACTAGGGCGACTGGGTGGCTCAGCTGGTTGGGTATCCGACTCTTGGTTTCAGTTCAGGTCATGATCTCGGGGTCGTGAGATGGAGCTCCATATCAGGTTCCGCACTCAGTGAGGAGTCTGCTTGATATACTCTCTCCCTCTGCCCCCCCCCCACTCTGCTTGTACTTGCATGCGCACACACCATCTCTATCAAATAAAATAAATAAGTTTTTTAAAAAAATATTTTACTTATTTATTTGACAGAGAGCAAGCACAAGTAGGTGGAGCAGCAGGGAGAGGGAGAGGGAGAAGCAGTCTCCTCGCTAAGTGGGGAGCCTGATGTGGGGCCCGATCCCAGGACCCTGGGATCATGACCTGAGCCAAAGGCAGATGCCTAACGACTGAGCCACCCAGGTGCCCCAAATAAATAAAATCTTAAAAGAAAAAAGAAACAGAAATTCATATTATTTTTGATGTTAGTAACACTTTCATAATACCATTTTAACTACTTTTATACCGTAAGACATTTGTGGGAACTAAAAAAAAAAAAAAAAAAAATCACAAAAACTTTAGATAAATTAATACTAATGTCTTGCTTCAGGAAGATGATGTCTTGGTACATTTGCCTAACAAAGTACCTGGAGGGAAAAATACTACCATCGGAGAAAGCAGAAATAAAGGAGAAAGCCCTGCACCAGCATGAGCAAACATCACTTTGATACAACCAAGGAGTCGCCTGCTCACTCTGAAGTAACCCCACAAGATGGGTCATTGGCAGGCCTCCCATCCTTCTTTTAACACCACCTCCTCACCTCACATTTTAGAAACTTCTACAAATATGTTAAGCCCACTTAAAAAGTAAACTTGTATTACCACCATTCCTTGTTTTAATCTTGAGAACTGACCTCCGGGGGAAAAATGGATTTGCCCAACTCTTTATGAAATAAGACTACCAACAGACTACCAACTCATTCTCTTATATGAGAATTTCCAAGTCAGGGCAGCATGGGTTCAAAACACTGTACACGTTTATTTAAAAATGGTATTGCTCTTCACTTCTATTTAGGAAACAGTAGTTTTCACTTGAAGGATCCCAAGAAGAGCTGAAATCCATACATAGGTGGTGCCCAAAAAATGCTACAAGTTGTCCGAAATGGCCAAATGCTTTTATTTCTGTGTATACCTTCCTAAGAGGTACTACAAAGGAACTGAGCAATGGATTGTTCAGAATCAAAAGGAACTTTCAGCACTAAAGTGGATTTCTGCCCTCCTGTTAACCCTTCCCACCCACCCTCTTTTTTTTTTCCTCCTCAAAACAATTTTGGCCAAAAAAGATATAACCTTCCTATTGACTGGAACATTTAAAAAATTTCAACTTCAGAATTTCACTTCAAAATAGACAGTAAAATTTTGCTCACCAACTTCTAAATTCCTAAAACCTCTTAAGAGCTCCAATATGTTTTGACTAAAAAAAATCTATGGATACAAATTAAATGATAGAATTCCTCTGTGGTCATTCTCCATCTGACTATCCTCATATACTGGAAAGAACTGAAGGAAAATGTTACTGACCAAAGGGGAAGACAGCCCTGTCTTCAAGGAATATACCTTATATCTCCGTCACTGTGTGTACATGAATACATAAGTTCCTTCCTGCCGTTGAAATACAGTAGGCCTTTTATGAAGAGGAAGTTTTTTCTAAATTCCTCTAAATTATGAGCAGCTGGTACTCTGCTAAGGACCTAATTTCCTATGACCAAACACCGTAACAGCAGATATTAGTCATAACTTATCTGAATAGGAGTGCACAACTTGGGATCAAGACCCTGTCCTTTTTTAAAAACAAACAAACAATACTTTTAATCCACTTTAATTCAGCCTGTGAAAACGAGAAAACCACAATACCATTAGTAGATTCTTACCCCATCCTTCAGATAGAACAAAATCAGGATAGAAATGCCACAGGGCTTTGGGGAAAAAAAAAAAAAAGTGAGGGTGGTTTTCACCAGTGGCAACGACGTTGGTTCAGGCTGTACCCTGAAAAGAACTTGTATGGAAAAGATACAAGGAACACTTCATTAACTAGAGCATCCAAGGAGCCTCCCAAGTCTTATTCCAGAACACGGGAACTTATTCTGAAGATCTTACAAGCCCATGCTAAAATGAGGAAAGAGAGGAAGACGTAGGAAACAGGAGTTCTGGCTAAGGATCATTTCTACACAGTGGTATCAAGTAAGTTTTACTGTGCCTAGGTTTCTCGTCTGTAAAAATAACCTTCAGCTTCCTTGTTGGGTTCCCTAAACATATCCTGTGAATCTTTAGGGGGAAAACTATCCAGGAACGGATGCTATGAAGATCTCTAGAAGGAAGACTAAAGAGCAACTCGATGTTCTCTTGCATGAATGTGCTGTCACTTATATATATATATATATATATATATACCTAAAGGTCATTCCTCCAAAAAAGACACCACAGGAAGTTACACACGTATTCTAAAAATGCTGCTATTGCATAAAAGTTTATTTTTCTGAACTTGTTCTGGAGTCAGCAGTTCATTCTTCCAAATGCACAGCAGTGGAATATGGATATTCCTAAGTTCAACTTATGCCTTGCTCACTTCCTAGAAAGATTTTAAGCAGCTTATATTAAAAACATTTATGCTTATGTATAAAGGAAAAAATCATATGGCTTACCCAGGTGACTTCCCTGAAGGGAACATTTCTTTAAATATTTACGCTTGTAAAGAAAAAAAAAAAAAAGACCATGTGACTTTTCAGGTCCAGTTCACATTTGGGGAAGAGGGGAGTCAAACTCCACATCTTCAGTATCAATTCCTCACTTCTCACCCCCAGTGCCTCTGAGGGCACAGATAACTTTGCCTACTTCTGTCTACTGCAACTCTGCTTCTGCATCACTAGGCTCGGGTGGTACTAACAGAGCTGATCACTTTTCTGAAAACTGATTTTCAGACAGCGTAAGCCTGACCCCTCATGCTAACGAGGGACACAGCTACCCTAACTCTATCCTTAAGACACAAAAACAGCTTTCCAATCCCATATCCTTATTCACGGAGCCTGTCCAAAATGGCCACATTGGAAATCTTGCATATGCAAAAGTGCTAATATTAATCATTCTTTAGTCTTTTCGATATTTCACTGAATGACATGCACACACATTAAATGATCTGGCAACGATGAAGACCCTTCCCGGAGCCTAGAATTACCCTTTTTTTTTTTAGTACACCCTATAAAATATTATTAAAGCCATCCAACCAGTTACCTGAACGAGAATTTAGCCAACTCTTCATGCTCATTAAGATCATGTCTTCACCAAAGAGACAACAAAAGGTGTATCTTTATCAAACTTGGCGCAACTAAACCAGACACAAAGACTGTTTCAACTATTAATTTTAGCGATTGTAAGCATACTCTTCTACTGCTCCCAATTTCACTTTTACTATCTGATAAGCAACAGTGAACCTTCTGGGCACTATTGGTTCACCGTATCCAACCCCACCTGACACACTTTTACTGCCAAAGGAGACGAATCAATTGATCATCCGCTGAGGTGTTTCTACCCAAGCTTCAAACTCATCTTTGGAGCTGCTCTAATTTCTTCCAACTTTCTTTCTGGAATCACTTTAAGCACCAAGGGTAACAAACTCCGTGCTCAAGGAGCCCTTGAATTGATAGGATCTTCACTGGAAAAACTTTTCTTTCATACGAATCCCTATTTCTTTTTGTAACAAATGGACCCCTTTGGAATTTTCACTTTGGGAGACCACAGTGACATTTCAGGACAAGTATGTTCCTGAACGATCATGCTTTGATTTCAAACAGGTCTACATACTTTCTTCAAAGGAAGAAGGAAAACAGGTGGGAGGAGTAGCAGCAAAGGGACATCAGACAGAAGATGTGTGAGATGAGAGCGTGCACTGCTCATTCTACAATGTGGCTGGAGTTTACCTCGGGACCCGTGAACAAAATTTTTAATGCCACTCATAAGGCACTCACCTTGAGAATTTTTACAACCACTCTCTCATTGTTGGTGATGTTAATGGCCTCAAATACTTCACTATACTTTCCCCGACCAAGTTTTCGAACCAGCTGGTAATCATCTTGATTACTGTGAAAGGCAAGAGTGACACATAAATGCCAGGACTTGGGATTAACCAAGCCTATGCCCACTATATACCCCCATCCAGTCACTTCCATTAATCAAGCATTGGAAACGTCTATACATCAGGACACAACTCATTCCCTAAATGAAAGCCACAACATAAACTTGGCTCCTTTCACTCTGCTCACAGCTCCTAACCTAATTGGTCAATCACAACTTGGGGAGCAGAGGTAGGAAGGCACGGCTCTGAGCCAATCTAGAAGGGTGAGCAAAGCATCCATCCTGGGGGCTCGGAGGGTGCCCCACTGCCTGGGGCTCCACAGCAAATGCCTTATACCTCACACCCCAAAGGTAGACAGCGCCTGCTTTGAGAATGTGGATGTCTTTAAAAGATTTCCTCCCACCCAGCCTCATTTCAAAAACTAAAAAGGCAGAGAATTTTAATAGCTCCAGAGGACAGCTGCTGACTGCCCACCCCAAATAGAAACCCAGAAGTGTAAGGAGGAAGGGCTGCTCTCTCATTTTCATAAGGCTTCAGTCCCTGGACCCTACACTTCTCAGTAAGAAAGCATTCTTTGGGGTAAGGGGGAGAGAGGGGTGCGCAAGGCGGGGAAAAAGGGGGACAGGGAGACGAGGACATGTGCAGCGGGGGGGGGGGGGGGAGGGGGCTCTGCCTCCCACCCCAGACCCGAGAAAGGGCCGGCCAGCGGCGGGGCGGCTGGGGAGGCAGACCGCGCGGGGTGGGGGGCCA